CCCCAAAACCCCAAAACCCCAAAACCCCAAAACCCCAGGAATGAAATCAAAAATTGAAATGATAGATTTTTCGAAGAAAGTGCGATATTAGAAAATATTGTGGTCCATAGAAATTGAACTTGAGAACATAAATTCTCTTTTGCTCATCTCAAGGGCTTCGACTTGATCCCTAGCGTGATCAAAATTATTTCTTTTCCATGCAAGGACTAAATTGTCCATGAGCATGGAGATAGTCATGGGTCCAACCCCTCCAGGCACAGGAGTGACATAGCCTGCTTGGGTGCTGACGCTTTGGAAGTCAATGTCTCCAACCAAGCGTTTCCCATTCTTTCGAGATTGGTCTTCAATATATTGGGTTCCGACATCTATGACGATGGCTCCACTTTTGATGAAATCCCCTTTTATGAGATAAGGACAGCCAGTGGCTGAAACAACGATGTCAGCATTTGAAATCTCATCTTTTAAATTTTGAGTATATGTATGTCACAAGGTAACTGTTGCAAACTCTTTTTGGAGAAGCATGGAGATCGGCATACCGACAATGTTTGATCTTCCGATCACGGTTGCCTTCTTCCCTCTAATTTCAGGACAAACTGACTTGATCAGTCACATAATCCCTTTTGGAGTTCAAGGTGTGAAGAAGGGGTCTTCATGTCGAGCCATTGCGCCCATGTTGAGAGGATGGATACCATCCACATCCTTCTCATGAGAGATCATGTCTCAGATCCTAGTGCTATCATATTTATCAGGAAGAGGTAATTGAACCAGAATGCCATTCACTGAAGGGTCTGAATTAAGGTCTTTGACATAATCTTCTATCTCACATTGTGGAGTTGATTCATGGAATTTATTTTCCAACTGTATCTATTCCAATTTGTCTTCAAGTTCTCTTCTTCATGCGCACGTAGAGGTGGGAGTCTGGCTTGTCTCCAACAATGACATACCCTAGCTTAGGCCTGGCGCTGTGAGAAGGACTGAAGGTATTCCTCAAGTATTTTATTTCGCTCCGAAGTAAGGATTTTATTTTCTTAGAAATTTCAAGCCCATTGATAATCTGAGCATTAGTGGCTTTACTGACGTCAGCAGTAAAGCCAGTGTGAGGGCACGTCAATGTGCTGAAATTCATCGTGCTCTGTCACAAGCTTAGCCGGAAACGGCTATTTTGGAAAACAAATTTGGTAAACATCTGTTGAAATTTAGAAAATGGAGCGATCTGTTGATGGAAAAATAAACTTTATTCAACTGATTTAAAGCAACAGGGGTTTTGGGGTTTTGGGGTTTTGGGGTTTTGGGG